ATTCTGTGGTGGTGGATACGTTTGGTCGCGTTGTCATTAATTGCTTCGATCCCTTCAGACTTTGAAGAAGACAATCCCGACGAAACGAAAAGATAATGTTTCTGAAGGGCGAAAACTCTTACATTCTGACTAGTCCTTGGTTATCGCAGGGACCTGAGCGGGTGAAGAAGGATGGCGGGTCGCATCTTTATCAGTGTTTTTATTTATCTAACCCATCTCGCGCCCTTACATCGTCTTTTTTTAAAACTTACCTGTGAATTGAAGTGGAATTGTAACCTTCTTGTGAAAGTAGCACACGTGCGATCTTTTTACCTTTTCTGTCTGCTTATGTGTGAGAATCAGATCAGCACGTGGATTATATAACAGTGTTGCAATATTTCGCAGTTACTATATGGAACTCTCAGAATAGTCTTTTAAGGTCACGATATATAATCCAGAATGAATAGAGGGATAATTAGCATGCTCGTTATTTGTTTGGGAAATTCAAAATTTTGATTCTTTTAACTTCCCCAGCCAAAACTGCTGAGTGCAGCGCTGTTCGCATCTTGAGCATCACCGTTAATGACCTGCTAACGAAAGTACTCAATTATTAAACCCTGAACCAGTTGTAAAGTATGTGCTAATCATTACACCATTAGACCCGCCTTCCATCTCTTTAGCTCAATGGCTTCCTCTCTCAGCAAACCCAATAGGCGTGAGGTTCAGGTTCGAGTTATGGCTAGGGGCCAGTTTTGCCCTTGTGGTCACACTGTGCATGAGCCTGCTTCTGATGGGAACCTTCTTATTCCTTATTTCGAATTTGTTTCTTTCCACTTGAGCAGTACTTCTTATCTAGTTCATTTGATTCCATTTTTTTGCAGTGAACGATGGCGACCGATCAGCAGTTGGCCATGGTTGCCGAATTGGAAATGGAAATGATGTCGGATATGTACCGTCGGATGACGGCAGCTTGCCAGGAGAAATGCATCGCAAGAACATTCAAAGAAGGAGAGCTCACAAAGGTTTCTGCTGTGTATAATCTAGTTCGCTGCGGGCAAGGGGGCGTGTCAGGCGGGATGAGTTTGGCGCGGTGCCAAACCCGTTCTCCACCAGCTGTTGAAGCGAGCAAGCAACAAGACTGTATCATGTTGTTCATATCGGTCGTTTTCTATCAGCTGTTGTCGTATACCCGCTTCAACTACTGGCATAGAACAAGTCTGGCTCCGTGGGGCACTCACAATTACTGACACGCAACTTTATCCACAGCGAAGTGGGGATAGATACCATTTTCACTTTAGACCGGGCAGTTAACCA